GCTGCAGGCAGGAACAGACATACACCGAAGCAGCTCAGGGTTAGCAGCCTGCACAAAGTCATTTCTGGGGATCCAGGATGTGTCCTTACAGGAAGAAAGGCTCAGAAGACCTGCAGGGATCTTAAGCCTGCTTTTCGCTGTGCTTTGCTTTCTTTTCTCAGGTGGTTTTATCAGCTCCTGTACCTGAGTCACTCCCAACAGGAAGAAAGCATGTGCCTCAGTCTGACTCACCTTCTGAATAAGGAGAGCCCAGCCCATATGAAGCAGACACACACATGCACACACGCCCAATGCTGCCTCCTTAACAGCTCTTGCGGCTGTCCTCCACCAGTCAGAACAGCAACGTGCACCCTGACATCAGCGTGTGTGTGGAAGGATTGAAAAAGACACTGCATAAATCATAGGATCATAGAAGTTAAGGGCTGGAAAGGACCTCGAAAGATCAAATGATCCCACGAAGGTGCTTGTCCAGTCTTCTTCTGAAGACCTCTAAGGTTGGGGTCTGCACCACCTCCTTGAGAAGTCTATTCCAGATTCTGGTCATCCTTAACATAAATTAGTTCTTCCTTACATCCAATATGAAACCATCCTCTAACAGTTTATGGCCATTGCTCCTTGTCCACCCCTGGGGTGCCCTAGTGAATATTTTTTCTCCCAGTTCCCGATATTCACTCCTTACGTACTTACAGATGGCCACCAATTCCCTTCTCAGTCTTCTCTTCTCCAAACTGAACAGTCCTACATCACTTGGTCTTTCCTCATAAGGTTTATCCTCCAGGCCCTCAATCATTCTGGTGGCCCTTCTCTAGACCCTTTCAAGATTCGCCACATCTTTTGAAGTGCAGCACACAGAACTGGACACAATACTGCAGCTGGGGTCTCACCAGCGTCAAATAGAGAGGAAGCATCACTCCTTAGAGCCCTGCTTGAGACGTATTGGCTAATGCATCCCAGTATGCTATTATGCGAGCTTCCTCCCAACACTGTCCTGCGGATGCCAGCTGGGGCTCTAGTAATTAATTTCTTCCACCCAGTAGGACCCCCTCCAAACTAAAAACTACTGACCCATGTCACCCGAGTCCTATAGCCCAGTACCGGATACACCACATGGTACTGGTTACTGCCTCCCCTGGTTACTGTCATGGGGTCTCTCTGCTGGTTATAACTAAATCCAGACACCCAGGTAAGCCACTCTAGGAGTACTACCAGCTCTGGAAGAATTACTGAACCCAGTCCAGTCAGTGCTTCCCTCTTATTGCTTTGCTGTAGCTCCAGTGCCAAATCACATCTCTAATCTCAGGTAGTTAATGCTTTAGACTCCTCCTAAATCTTTTAAGATCTTCAATAGCCTCCTAAGGATTAACCACCCAGAGCTGACAGCTTTGTGCCCTGTGGTTCCTTGCTGTTGGATCAGGAGCAGTATTATTTTGGTGATTCTGGGGGGAATACCATGAGAATAAATTCACCGGTTTTTTGGAATTCCCCTTTCCCAAGTCTACATGCTCCTGTGGATAGTTTGAACAATATTTTATTAGTTGTCTCTTCTGCTTTTAACACAGCAAAGCTTATCAAAACTCCTAGCAATAAAAACCAACCAACTAACATGCTGGTGGGAGGTTGATATTTGCCACCCACAGTTCTCTTACCTGATGTGTTTCACAATGGTAAAGCACGAATATTTCCCATGTTCTAATTATACAGGTTCTTGCTGAGCTATCTTGTGGGTTGTTTGATCATTTGACAAAGAGTCTGTGCTGCAAAATATACTATTTCCTACACTTCTTCCTTTCTGATGATTCTGATCTACCTAGGCAGTATTTTAGCATCCATCTGCCAATGCAAGAAGGATCACTACAATCTGTCTTCAGACTGGATAGCAGACTGATCTCAAACATCCCACATAAACAAGGCATTGACCACTTCCCCCTGGAAGACTGGAGCTTACTGTTGGAAAGTTTTCCTTGATATTTAGTGTTTTTATTTCTCTGTTGCCCCTGGCAAACATTATATTTATTGTATGATTAATGCTTTAATCACACAAATTGTAACATGCCAAACATTCAGGCAATTTATCATCACACAATAAAAATGGGGAACCAGTCGCAAAAATAGCAAACGGGCCTCAAAGATATTACTCATTAAATGCAAAATGGAACATCTTTGTGGCTGGTTTGTATTCCATAACCTCTCTAGCTAGCTTCGTATCTAAATGATAAAAAGAGGGAGGGACATTCGTAGATGCATATATGTTAGGGGCTGGAAGGGACCTTACAAGATCATAGAGTCCATCCCCCCTGCACTTAGGCAGGAAAGACTGTAGGGGGTCAGATGACCCCAGCAAGGTGGGCATCAAGACACTTTTTGAAGATTGCCAGGGTGGGTGACTATACCCCCTCTGGGGGGAGCCTGTTCCAGACCCTCGGCACTCGACTTGTAAAGAAGTTTTTCCTTATGTCCAGTCTGAAGCAATCTTCAATCAGTTTGTGCCCATTGTTTCTTGTTTTCCCCTGGGGTGCCGTGGTGAACAGATGCTGCCCCAGGTCCTGATGTACGCCCCTAATATAATTACAGGTTGCCACCAAGTCCCCTCTGAGTCTTCTCCAGGCTAAACGGTCCCAAGTCTTTCAGCCTCTCCTTGCTCTCTAGACCTCTAATCATGCATGTGGCCTGCCTTTGGACTCTCTTGAGCTTCACCATGTCCTTCCTGAAGTGTGGCACTCAGAACTGGAGAAAGGATGGTCCAGTAGTTAGGGTACAAAGCTTAGGACATGGGTTCAATCCCTTGCTCTGACACAGGCTTCCGGTGTGACCATGGAAAAGTCACTTAGCCTATCCACGTGTTTTAGCTCATTACCTTTAAAATGGTAGAAGGCAGGGCAAGATGCCAGCTGTCATCTGTGAAAACTTAGGTATGTCTGGACCAGTTAGTCTGTAAGGTGCCACCCAGTACTGCCTTCTGCCTGACTTTAGACTACCAGAGTTATCTGTAAAATGGGAATCATAGTAATAGGCAACCTCTGATCCTCTAGATCATGGTGTATGTGCAAGCTCTCTAGTCGGGTGCCTGATGAATCTGCTTGTATGGAGTCCTGTGACCATCACACCAAGACCTGTAACATGTACATAGGAAAGAGTATGAAGGAGTGGATGGTGCCCTAGACCTACCATCTCCCCTTTAGACCAATGAGACAGCACCCAAAGGCCAAACTGAATCCAGATGCTCAGTTCAGTGCCTCGATGGTTGTAGCTTCTGCTGGAGAGCAACTGATAAGAGCTGCTACTAACCATCTTAAGACCACAGCAAGGGCACGTTTCTGTCCGGGTGATGTCCCTTAGCATTTCTCTAACCAAGGAGTACCCACAAAAAAGTGGGGACTAGGGCTTTGAGGTGCCCTATACTCGCCTTACTCTCAAGATTGCAACATTGTGGTATTTTATAGGAGCTACCCTGCCATAAGTAACCCCATGTTGCCACTTTACTACAAACACAGGAGTTTTGGAAGAATAACAGCATTAAAGATTCTGAGATGAAAGGAGTCCGACATGTATCTCCAGAATAGGCTTGTGGTCTAAACCCTTCTCCATGAACAGTAAACTCTAATAAAGTCCTTTGCACCTACTAAGTGTCAGAGAACTCACCTGTCTTTCCCACATGCTCATCCCCATGCTTTCTTCCAATTCGTCCCAGTGGCCTGAACTGCCCTCATTCACCTCACCATTCCCAATGCTGTCTTTCAAATCCTTCCTTAAAATTCATTACTGTGCCTCTCCTATGCTTACTCCATCATAATCTTTTTTTGGCAATCGCTCACAGTTGAGGATGATTGTCTTCCATTATTGTCCTCTCTGTGTGTCCAACGATGGCTAATGAGGCCTATCTAAGATCAACAGACTACTGCAGCTCAGACATGTGTTTCCATATGGGATGGGTGGCGCTGGATTCATGATTTGGTCCATGACACTGTTTCTGCCACTCCTGCTTTTCCATCTCCTGTTGTTGTCATGAGGCTTCAAACTACTCAGATCCTTGCAGCAGACTCTTCTGCCATTTGGGGTAGTCCTGGGTAAGTCTCTCACAAGTTGACATCAATATTGCATTTTTTTTAAAGTTGGCCTCAAAGACATTCCTGAAGCACACTCTCTGCCTTCTCCTCTTGAGCGTATGCCTTGGCTAAGCTGGGAGAATAAAACTTGCTTTGGGAGTCTGGAGTTGGATATCCTGATGACATGACTGGCCCAACGAAGTTGATGTTGGATGATCATCACCTCAATACTTGTAGTGTTTGCTTTCAGGAGGACGCTAATGTTGATGAGTCCATCTTCCCATTGGATTAAGAGGATCTTCTGTAGGCATTGTTGATGGTACTTCTCCAACAACTTTAGATGTTTCCTGAATGTTGTCCATGTCTCAGCTCCATACAGCAATGTGGGGATCACAATTGCTTGATAATTCATGAGCTTGGTTTCAGATCTGATGTCACAATCTTCAACTGTTCATTTTTTCAGGCATCCAAAGACTGTACTTGTACATTTGAGGTGACTGTGGCAAGGCACCTTTGGTGTCCTCCACTTTAAGGGGCTTGAGCAGGCTGTGGAGCAGCCAGCAGGTGCAGTTAAGTCCAATTAGGTGGTCATATGACCGCAAGGGGGCCACTGGATTGGATGAGGGCTGGGCAGCTAGAGCATAAGCCCAGGCCCTAGAAGCTGAGCCAGCAATTACATCTAGGGAGCCAGAGAAACAACATCACTCACCCTACAGACTGCAGCTCACAGAACACCTGGAGGTCAGGGTAGGAACTATGGGAATGGAGGAGTTCCTGGTCCTGGGTAAGACTTGAAACTGCACCCTGCAGGATGGTGTGGTGGGGCTGCCTGTGGCAGATGGTGGGGTGGGCCTGCCTGTGGCAGGGCAGCCCCCAGGAAATGCCATACCTGTGTCTCCCCAGTGAAAAGCAAGAATGGGCACCATAAAGCCTCAGCCCCCATGACCTTGTGGGTACCCTGTGGAAGGGAAAGGCTAGGGGAGCACACCCTGACAGAAAAGCACAAGTCTCAGGCCCACTGAGTGGGGCCTGAGGCAGGATCAAGGTCTATAGAGTGGGGCCTGAGACAGGGCCAAGGTTCACTAAGAGGTACCTGAGG